ACTTTTCTGGCCTCATCCTTTTGATTCGGAAGGATTCCATTTTTGAGATAGCTTTCTAGTGGATCCATGTAACAACCCACTCTACCACATGGTATGATATTGTCCGCTTTGGGCCTGAGCCCGCACGGTTTTGCTCTTGGGCTTTACCCCAAAAGGCCTCATACCAATTGGAGGTGACACACTTACATATAAGTACTTCACCTTTCCTCTACCCAGGCGATGTGGGACTGTGCACCCGTAGCTCGCCAGTGTGGTAGCCTGACAGTGTCTCTCGCACCCGCCCACGGCACACCCGCCCACAGGGTCATCACAATCACCCCCCCTTTGGGGCCCAACGTCCTCGTTGGCCACACTTCCGGCTGGGTCAGGCTCTGATACCATTTGTAACAACCCACTCTACCACATGGTATGATATTGTCCGCTTTGGGCCTGAGCCCGCACGGTTTTGCTCTTGGGCTTTACCCCAAAAGGCCTCATACCAATTGGAGGTGACACACTTACATATAAGTACTTCACCTTTCCTCTACCCAGGCGATGTGGGACTGTGCACCCGTAGCTCGCCAGTGTGGTAGCCTGACAGTGTCTCTCGCACCCGCCCACGGCACACCCGCCCACAGGGTCATCACAATCCATCCAGCTTGGCTCCCTTGGAATCTCTGGGATTACCATTACCGACAGCTGAGGACCTAAACTAGGTTCTTCCAGGGTGTCGATAGGCACGACGTAGATCAAATCTTTATCTGAGGAGGAAGCCGTTGTAGCTAGTCTGTCTGCTTCAGAATTCTTTTCTCTTGGTACTTAGTGAAATTCAATTTGATCGAATCCACGCGTAACACTTTCGACAACATCTTTGTATACCCTCATTTTTTCTTCCTTTGGTTGATACTTTCCTGTTACTTGATTCACAATGAGTTGTGAGTCACTAAAAACTTTTAGACACTTTACCTGGAGTTGACTTGCCAACCGAAGCCCAGCTAACAAGGCTTCATATTCGGCCTCATTGTTGGTGGCGGGAAAATCCAAACGGATTGATTGTTGTAACTTTGTTCCTTCTAGAGTTGTGATGATGATCCCTGTCCCTACATTAGTCAAGTTTGAGGAACCATCAACATGGAGTTCCTACTGTGGTTCTGGGAGTTTTAGCTCTTTAGGCTTATTTTCATACTCCAGGAGGAAATTGTCCATGGCTTGTCCTTTGTGTGACACCTTCGGCTCGTAGGCTATGTCGAAAGAACTAATCTTGATTGTCCATTTTGTAATTCTGCCTAACAAATCCGGCTTAGAGAGGATAGCTCGCATAGGATAATTTGTGAGGACCACTATGTGATGAGATTCAAAGTAATGCCAAAGCTTTCTCTTTGTATTTACTAAAGCTAGTATGATCTTCTCTGCCTTGCTATATCTTATTTCGGCCTCAATTATTGTCTTGCTTATGTAGAAGACTGGATATTGATTCCCCTCTTTCTCTCGTATTAGAACTGCACTTGTGGCTGTGTCAAAAATTGCTAAATCCATGGTGAGGACTTCTTCAGGCTTTGGGGCACACAAAATAGAGGGTTTAGTCATGTAGTCCTTTAGTCTAGCAAGAGCTTTTTGTTGCTGAGGTTCCCATATGTCTCTGTTCTTCAAACGTATAACATCAAAGAAATGTTTGCACTTATCCGATAATCGGGATATGAAACGACTGAGAGTTGTTATTCTGCCGGTTAGGATTTGCACTTTTCTGCAAGTTTTTGGCTCCTGATTCTGTACTAGGTCATTGGCCTGAGCCGGGCTTACCTATATCCCTCATTTGTTAATAATATGGCTGAGGAATTGTCCTGGAGAAACTGCAAAGGAACATTTAGAGGGATTTAACCTTATATTATATTTTCTCAGAGTGTCGAAGACTTCTTAGAGGTGCTTGGGATGATCTTCCTTCTTCTCACTTTTGACCACCATGTCGTCGATATAAGCCTCCACTGTCCTACCCAACATCTTATCGAAGATCTTATTGACGAGGCGCTGGTAAGTTGCCCCAGCTTTCTTAAGTCCGAAAGGCATAACTTTGTAATAATAAGTTCCCTTCTCTGTGATAAAGGATGTTTTTTTCTTTATCCTCTGGATTCATGCGAATCTGATTGTATTCGGAGTACGCATCGAGGAATGTTAGTCTTTCATAACCTGTGGTAGCGTCCACCATCTGATCTATCTTCGGTAGCGGAAAACTATCTTTGGGACAAGCCTTATTGAGATTGGTGAAATCTATGCATACCCTCCACTTTCCGTTCTTCTTTTGGACCACCACTACGTTCGAAAGCCACTGTGGATAATGTATTTCCCTGATGAAGCCCGCTTGAAGCAACTTATCTACTGATGAGCGCTAAAAAGTGCGTATTTAAACCCCTTAAGCTTATGCATCCTAGTACCTTTATCTATCTTACTTTACCGTTTTAAATTGATTTCGTGTTATTTACATTTTTAGGCACTTATCCCGAAAATAAGCTAATTCAGCCAAATAAGAGCAGAAATGAAGCAATTCTGTGATGAATCAAAGAAAGAAGCCAAGTGGAAGCAAAAGGAAGCAAAAAGGTGAAATTCAATATCTTCGATCGATCTCAGATCAAAGTTCGATCGATTCAACATGATCGATCTCAGCACTTCAAGATGGATCTGAGCCGTGATGACATTTTCAGAGATCTCAAAAGTTCAATCGATCCAACATCATTCTTCGATCGATCGAACTACCTTGTCCTTATCCAAATGATTGATTTTATCCAGTTGTACCACCCTATCAACCACTTTTGTTCTTTTCCCAAAAATATCTTCAAAATATCTCAGATTTGCTTTTATCCAAAAAGGCGCCGCCATTGAGGATCGATCCAACTTCAGTTCGATAGATCTCAGCTATGTTCGATCGATCCAAGTCCAAGGTTCGATCGATTGAACTTCCTCCAGTGCGAAAAAGTTAAATTTCCAGCTCATTGGAAGCTGTCCTTATCCAATCATTGGGGAATGTTTTGTGCACGACCCCAGCTCATTTTGTGTGTCACTTGACCTACCTATATATAGAATATGATACACTTTTTGAGGGGAGACCATCTATCACAAGAGAGGCTATTCTTAGGGAGGAAGAAATGAGGAGAAGGCTAGAGACATAAGATTGGGAACTCTTCATCAACCAAGGAGCAAATCTCTACTATGGAGTTAGCCCTTGAGGGTTGGAGAAGCACTACCATGAGTGGCTAGACATCCTCTTGGGCCTAGAGTTAGCCCCAAGCATGCTTTCTACATCTTGATTTTGTGTATTATTGAGGGATTAGTGTTGTAATACATGTTTTGGTACTTTTATATATATAGATCTTGTTTATTCAATGATTTATGTGATTTAATGCTTCCAATTGATCATTTCATTCTATCTATATGTCTATGTATGCTAGAAGAGATGTTCATGTGTTTGTCTCTATTTCATGTGTTATTGGTGCATGCCTATGTGTATTAATGCCATAGATCTAGAGATTGTCAAAACATAGTGCTTAATGAAATGCTCTTGTAATTTTTTTGATGGTTCATGCTCATTTCTTGATGGTTCATGCTCATTTCTTGATGGATTGTGCATCTCTCTTAGCTTAATTAGTTTAATTTCATGTCATTAGCTTAATTGTAGTGTAGTGGTAGCATAGTTGTTAGATGGGAGGACAATCTGTGCTTGTTGTTTGATGTTCCATACTTTTGAATGCAAGTAGCATATGTCTCTAACCTTGTGGTGTATTTGACTTGTGAGCTTAATGAAAGGATTAATGACTTGCTAGATATATTGTGCTTTTCACATGCTACTTAGACAATATATACTTAATTGTTAGATACATTGTGCTTTTCACATGTTGCTTAGACAATGTATACTTAATTGGTCATCCTTGGTAATTGAATCAACCAAACACACACACACATTAATATTGCAACACACATTTCCCTCATTAGTCACTTGTTAAGGGTGTAGAAAAGAATTATTTGGTGGTGACCTCTAAACCCCAAGATCTCTCTCTTACTTACTCTTTATTGCATTCAATTATTTCATTTAATTTGCTCTCTAGTTTAATCAACCAACCAACTATTTGTTTGATCAATCGACCTACTAACCCTAATAGCGATTCCACAACCAAATTCGACTCCAATCCCTTGGGACGATCCCGACTCACCCTAACTATATTTTTAGTGAAGGTAGTAGTGGCTTCTATAAATGTAAAACTTGGCCCTCGCCTTAATGCACACTCTCTAAGCTTATGGTGTAGCGACCCACCAACATCTACTTCTTCAACAATGATTCGATATCTTTCAGGAGTGAACCTCCTATGTTTTTGTTTGACGGGTCTGTATGTAGGATCCACCTTTAAGTTATGGCATGATACCGAAGGGTTGATCCCTGGCATGTCCAAATGGGTCCAGGCGAACGTATCTGTATTTCTTCGAATGACATCAATTAACACCTCCCTCTCTCCGACTGAGGGAGAAAAACCCATGTAAGTGACTTTCTGTGAATTACTGAGGATAACTTCTACAGCTTCAAAAGATTCCTCACTGGGCTTTACTGTTTCTGCCTCTGCTTCAGCTTCTGAATACTTAGGCAGAGGGCTGTGTAATTGCTATTTAGTAACACCTTCAGGGGTTGTATCTGAATTGGATATCTTAACTCCTTTCTTTGATTCCTTCAATGTCAACATGTAACACTCTTTTACAGCAACTTGATCTCCCCAAAGGTTAATGACTTCTTTTCCATTTGGAGATAAGCATCGCATCACTTGATGTAGAGTAGACGGCACTCCATTCATTTGGTGAATCCAACCTCTTCCCATAATGAGATTGTAGGAAGGATGAATTTCTGCCAAGACAAAGTTTTCTTTCAGTGTCCTTTTTGCAGCAGTGACTGACAAATCGATTATCCCAATAGGGTCCACTTTCATTCCATCGAACTTCATCAATAGATTGGATGTAGCTCGAACTGACGACGATGGGATTTCTAACTACTCAAAGGCTACCTTAGTTATAATATTGGCACTGCTGCCAGGGTCTACCAAGACTTTTTGAATCATGCAGTTTGCTACCAGAAGACTAATAATGAGTGGATCTTCGTGGGGAAGCTGCACTCTGGATAAATCTCTATCTCTGAATCCGATGCTGATACTGCCCGAAGTGATGGTATTTACTAAGGATAACTTTCTTAGCTTGTGGACAGCCCTCAGCCTAGAGCGATACACCTCTTCTGACTCTTGGTCTTCCTCCGATTTTCCATGTATTGCATGAATGACCTTCACTTGATTACCTTCTACTTTTCGAGTATTAACTTTCTTCGACCTAGTATGCTCCTTCTGCCTGAGATAATCTGCTAGGTCTCCTCTGGCTATCATATTTTCTACCTTTAGCCGAAGGGATTTGCAATCATTAGTTATATGTTCATAATCCCTGTGGTAGGCGCAGTGTTTGCTTTTGTCCCTTTTCTCCAGGGGTTGTCGCATTGGTTGAGGGACTGTGAATTAATCTTACTTTGTTTTCCTGGAATAATCGAGCCAATGTGGTACGGAGAGGTGTTACTCTCTCTTCGGTCTTATGTCTCAAGTATTTGGGCAACTGGTGCTGAGGCATACTGATTTCTTTGACTTTTTGAACTTGAAGCTTTTCCCGAGGCTTATTTTCTACCGTGACGAGGGTGGCATGTTGTGCTCGATGGGCTACATTCTCCTTAAGCCGAATGTAAATTTGTACCTTAGCATTTAGAGTTTGCATATCTAGAGGGGAGTATTTGACTAAAGAGGTATGGAACTTAGTCCCTTGGATCATGCCGATCTTGAATGCTTCTACAACAATCTTAGGGTGACAATCTGCTATCTCCGAAGCCTCCATGTTGTATCTGGATAAGAAATCTTGTAACATTTTTCCTCTCTTCTGTCTTATAGCGAAAAGACCAGCGATAGTTTTTTTCTGCTTCTTATTACTGCAGTATTGTGCTAGAAATATGGCGCACAGAGTTTCGTAGTTCTGGATGGACTTGTGTGGCCTATTCTTGAACCATTCTAATGTAACTCCCGTCAGACTAGTTAGGAAAACTTTGCACATGAATGCGTCTTTGTGGTTATCCAGAGCCATCTTCTGAGAGTAATGATCGAGGTGACGGGAAGGGTCTCTTGTGCCATTAAACTAAGTGAAGGCTGGTATGGTGAATTTTTTAGGTTTGTCAACGTAGTATATCTGATTAGTGAATGGAGTCTTCACCAGAGAGGCCTTATGCTCCCTTGCTATCTCGGCGGGTGTCTGAATCCCCAGGAGCTTCTTTTCATCAAAGACCTTCTGGACACCATCTTGAATGCCATTTGTCCATACTGTGAGCTTGCAGCTGGATTCGACTTGTTCGTCTTGTGTGTGATGAGGGTGGTTGTCCGAAGCTACTGCCTCGGTTCTCGTTCTCTACTCATGCCGACTCTTGTTGGCTTGAGCTTCGTCAACATGAGGAATAGTGGTTGGGGAGAGCTCTTGCTACATTGCCTGGTGGTGGTTGTGGTGCTATCTACGCCATGGTTGTCTGGAGAGCATTGTTCTTTTGCTGAAGCAACGCAATTTAATCCATACTAGCTTCGTTTGCTTGACGGAGGGTCTAGAACTGCTGCAAGAACTCTTCTCGCATCTTTTGCATTAGTTCTATCTGTTGATCGGCTGCGGCTACGGCTTCTCCGATTGACATCCGGGATCATAGTAGCATAAAATATTTCAATTCACTCATGGGGGTATGTTTCTATACGATTCCCACAGATAGCGCCAAAGTGTATGTGCAAAAATTCATTTAACCAAAAAGCTAAAAGAATAAATACAACTCACTCAAAATAAAAAAATAATTAACAAGAATAAGTCAGAAAAAAGCTTGTAATGCTCCATGAATTTTATTGGAGGTCTATGCCTCTATTTATATACAAAAAGATAGTGAAATTATGGTAGAATTCGCCATACTTGTCCTTCAATTCATTCTATATACAATTCTTTACCTATAAAGTTCTTTCCTTCTATAATTCCTTCCATGCAAGACTTTCCCATGGATAACTTCCTTATATGAAGAATCCTTAAGTAAACAGGACTTTGATTAATTTGAACTGGACTTGGATTAGGATGTGAATGGGCCGGACGAATCTATAGTAGGTCAAGAGGTTAATGTTAATAACCTTGGGTCAGTGGCAACTTTATTTGGCCTTGACCTAGATTGGGCTTTGATGGGCTTTTTGAGATCAATTGGGATTCTAACTTACTTTAATGACGTGGCTGGTTCTTATTGGAGGGGAGATTTTTCCCTCCACACTTTCTATAATAGTTCCTCTCTATCAATATGTTGTATTTTATCTTTATAACACAAATAATATTATATATTGAGTTATAATAAATAACCGTCGACTCAAATATTGATTCCAAATCGAAAGGTTGTAAATTAGTGTTCCAACAATTTAAAGATTAGAATAATTTTAAAGATCGGTTGGATTCTGTTTTCTTTGCTAGTACATAGAGGGGGTAGGCATGCCTCTCTCACTGGTTTCCTTTAATCAAGTAGATTATTTATAAATAAATAAAATAAAAAAATAAGTTGGATTGTTTATTTTGGTTCCAATTATGTGAAATCATATTGTAACGGTGCCTAAAGTTCAATAATACCACATAACACAGAATGTTTGATTTCGAATGTTTGATTTTTGAATTCACGTCGGATCTAGTTATTATAGTCAGATAATCTGTTAACCTTGTTTGTACAAATAAATACAAAGATGACAGATTAAATTTGAAAGAAATGACACGTCTTATTGATTGATCTTATGGCACAACAATACACATTAGCTTCGATATGAAGAAGGAATGCACACAACCACATTTCTCTCCATATATATGGAGTATGAATTCTTTCTTCATGTTTTCTTTGCTTGTACATAGAGGGGGTAGGCATGCCTCTCTCACTGGTTCCTTTAATCAAGTACCTTATTTATCAATAAATAAAATAAAAAAAATAAGTTGGATTGTTTATTTTGGTTCCAATTATGTGAAATCATATTGTACTGTTTTTTCATACAATTTCATTTTCACTAAATATGGAGAAAACATGAACAAAGAATTCCTACTCCCTATATATGGAGAGAAATGTGGTTGTGTGCATTCCTTCATATCGAAGCTAATGTGTACTGTTGTGCCATAAGATCAATCAATAAGACGTGTCATTTCTTTCAAATTTAATCTGTCATCTTTGTATTTATTTGTACAAACAAGGTTAACAGATTATCCGACTATAATAACTAGATCCGACGTGAATTCAAAAATCAAACATTCGAAATCAAACATTGTGTGTCATGTGGTATTATCGAACTTTAGGCACCGTAATAAAAAGAATAAGACACTAATCTATCATGGCATTTTCAAATGAGAAATACAAACAGCTCCATCAATTGATTTTCGGTCACTGCAACAAATATGAGTGTTCCGACAAACGCAGCGAATTAAGTAATAATTACGAAATGCGACAGAAAAATAAGTACACTACATAAAGAACATAAAGATTTATAAATAGTTCGGCAAAGCCTACATGCACGGTAGAGATTCGGCGAAAGTGTTCACTGTGTGTAAAATCGAAGATTACAAGTTTCAACCCCTCGCTCTCAGTTCTGTACGAAATTCGTCTCTCTCACACCCTAAATATCCTTATATATCGGATTACAAGAAAGTACTAATTAGGACCCACGATCCATGAACAGAAACGGCCCACACAAAACTCAACAAACGGGTCGTCGAGTAATAAATAGATCGCAACGCGACCCGACACCAAATTTCGATCGCAACATCACAATGAAATATAAAACTGAGAAAATCTGCCGCCACGAGACTTGCCACAGACATGGGATAGAGTTGTAGCTTATTGCAGCAGTCGCCATTTTTTTAACACAAAGAATAGTAGTAGTATATACAAATGCTAAAATTATCACAATATAATTTGAACAAAAATAGTCTAACAATAAGCTTTGGATTTGCCGAAACATTAGTATCATACATTAAAAATCAAAATAGACCAACAGGACTGTGGTTTAACGGTACAAGGCTACTACTAGTTCCAGTCTCAGTGGAGGCAGTGTATGTGAGTCCCAACTAAGAAAAAAAAAAATCAAAATAGCAACTGATACAAAAGAAATGTCAGTAGGCTTTCTTGTGTGTGAAGAGCGAAAGATGAGCAGCGACAACCTAAACTGTTCTTTATAAATGAGGTTGTTCAACATACCACCTTTTATTTTCCCAAACTGCTGCAACCTTTTACTTTGATCTCGTGTGTTTCCTGACTCTTCTCAGTTCTCATCCTTTTGTTTTTCTCATATAAAAGTGTCAGCTGTGATAATACTAAAAGAAGACTATACAAAGTCAAATGCTACATCAAAATTATATGTGACGAAAGTAAACGAAACGATCCTTCTAATTATTCTAAAGCGAACTATAATTGAGAAAGTTTAGCATACAAAGAACTTACAAGAAACATTAATACCACAGTACTGAATTGTTTCATGAATTTCAAATACCCAAGTTCAAAATCAACACTAAAAACAATGGTTAAAGCCCTAAACCAATGAAAATTTCGAGACAAAATGTTAATTGAACCTGACGTGGTAGAAACTCATCCAAAATGCTTATCGTATAGGAAAAAATATTCATCTTCATCTTCATCTTCAGTAGAAACCCAGCAATTCTCATTAAAAAATCTTCAAACAAAAACCATTCACCTTCTTTTGCTATCTTATCAGCACACAACAAAAACCATCCAAAATGCTTATATGGGAAAAAACTCGAATTTATAAATGAGAGGCAGATTCAGATCCCTAAGAATCATTTCTCGACAATTGTAGTGCGATCTCAAGATACATACTCTCTCGTAGCTACTGGGCTTTCATCATCATCAAAGGCACTTCCATTGCCTTGTGTGCTTCATCGTGGTGTTGTGGGGGGGTCATAGACTCATACTCATCACGCTCTCTCTTCGGAGTATTATTTTGTCTTCCTCGCACACTACAAGCAACAGATAGAACCATAGAGTGCATCCACTATATTGTATATTGTTGCCATAGTTTATTCTAAGAAGAGAAAAATTAAAAAGGGACACACAAAATCTGATGATGGTTTAAAGAGATTCAAGACAATTGTGGTGCCATCTCAAAATACATGCTCTTTCTTAGCGCGGGGACTTTGATCATCATCAGAGTCATTGCGCTTTCTCTTGAGAGTATTATCTTTGTCTTCCACTGGTACTGCTTCATCTGAATCCTCAATGATTCCCAAATTTCCACACCCATCCTTCCATTTTTTTACATCTTCCTCATACACTACATGTACTCCCCATTTCTTCGCTGGCAACGTCCTTGGACCAAAGTCGAATAAAACCTCAACTTGGCACCATTTGTTTGAATTTTGATCCCATGCCCCACTCCCAATCCCAAGGACATGAGTTGGAAGATAGCTCAACAACATGTGTTCGGAATCAACGTTCCTATCTGTGGGATTCCAACACAAACCCTTCCCAAGAATATATTGTCTATTATAACGGCCTGTGAAAATTAAAATTATATCTGGCAAATCCATAGCTGATTTTACATTTGCAAAGTCACCAACAGCACACACCGCAATCCCCATATATTTCTCGCTACACCAATCTGGAGGCAGTTGCAGATATGTCGAAGTACCTAAATTCTTATGACTGAACATTTCTGGAATCTCTCTTCCGGGTAAAAACATAGAAAATTCAGAATTTACAACACAGAGCCTCTGTACCAAGAAAACAACATGTCATTCATTCATATATACACATGTGCACACACACACACACACACACACACACATATATATATAGAAAGAGAGAGAGAAAGTAACCTGAAACAGAAATCTCAACAACATATCACCCACATCTTCCCTCCATTTATTCTCTAACAGCTTCAAGCAATTTGACAATGTGACCGAACACAGTGATCTATAATTTGTAGACAGATCTCCAACGCTTACTAATGATTGGCAATCATCTGCCAATAATTTAAGTATACACGATGGAAGCTTTGGTAATGCTTCTAGCCTCTTACAGCCTACTAACTTGAGTTTTTCAAGTTGAGAAAGCCGGGAGATGCTTTCAGGTAAACTAACAAAATTGTTTCTGCTTAAATTCAACTTTGTCAGAGAGGATAAACTGCCAAGGTCACTGGGAATCCCTCCTTCAGACAGATTGCAATCACTAAGATCAAGTTTTGTCAAGGAATTCAAACCTGTTAAAGAAGGAAGCACCAAAGACATTGAATCTTCACATTTCCTTGCTAAAAACCAAGATGAAAAAAATGATTGAGATAATGTTCCCTTGCATCCACTAAGGGACAATACTTTGAGGTCTTCCAAAAGATTAATAGAAGATGGTAGTTGTTTGATAGAAGTTTTATTCGCGTGAAGCTCCTCTAAACATCTTATATTTCCCAAGTTGTCTGGCAATTCCTCAAGCTTTGAGCAGCCAGAGAGGGTGAGAGTTTTAAGGCAGCTCAACCTACAAATGGTTCTAGGAAGAATCGTAAGGTATTTGCATTCACTCAAATCCATCAAGGTAAGGCTAGTGAGATGTTCAATTGACGAGGGCAGTTCTTTTATGGCAGTTCTATCCAAATAAAGTTCTGTTAAACAAACCATATCCCCCAAGATTTCTGGGAACTTTTCTAATTTCAAGCAGCCCGATAGAATAAAAGTCTCAAGAGATTCCAAGTGAATACCATTCGGAAACCTCTTCAGATTTCTGCAGTCTTTCAGGCTTAGAAAAACAAGCCTTTTGAGAACTCCAATGGATGAGTGAACTTCTACCAAACTCATACAATCCTCAAGATTCAGGGTCTCCAGATTTGGAGTAACTGTGAAGTCCGGGGTACTGGATAGCCTATGAGAGTGACTAAGGTTGATGACCTTCAACTTGTCCAGAAGCAGTTGAAACAAATGGAAAAAATTAGAATACTAGGCTCTCATGAAACATGACAATATATTCAATATAGTTAAAATTAATAATATTGATCACACCTTTATTTTCTTCCAAAGTTGTTTGATGCTGCTATAACACATGCTAAGTTCAACAAGATTCTCTGCCTGAAAACTTGCTGGCAGAGAGCCTGAAGGGTATGCATGCCAATCAAGACACCGCAACTCTTTTGGAAGGTGGGCAGGACCTTTACTGAACACCACATTGTAAACTTTGAATAGCCTCAGTTTCTTCATCTTTCTGAAGGCTTCAGAATTAAGATCAACAACTTCAGGTTTAGGCAGTTCCAAGCACATGGCTTCAACTTTTTCTGTCCCCTAACAACCGAGAGCACAAAGCAGAAGTAAAGAAGCAATATAAAATGTCGGTTAGGATTATAAAATTTGGCTTCTTCAATAAAATATCTATTAGTCGAAAAGCTGATTTTTCACAAGCTATCTTACCATATTTTCTGTCAAAACATAACAAACATCCTCTCGAAGCCACAACCTGCTACGTTTCCAAGATTCTTGAGATTCTTGATGAATAATATACCAACCCATATCTTGTATCAAATCATGCATCCAAAACCGATCGTTTGAAATAGTTATGAGAGACTTTTCAATAAGAACAGGTATTCCAATTCCAGGGCAGAAGCCGCAACTGTCGAGTATTCTTGTTACATTACACTTGTGTTTCCCTTTGAAGAAGTATGCAATATCAAGGAAAATTTCCTTCTCCATTTCATCAAGTCTGTAGAAACTGATTTTAAGCACCTGAAGAATTTCTTTGTTAGGAATTTTGTGCAGCTTAATCAATGTGCTTTTCCATTCATCTGTTTTTCTACCATATAGAAAAGAACCCAAAATTGTAAGTGCTAATGGAAGGCCACCAGCATAATCTACTATCTGGTTTGAGAGCTCCAAATAACCTTCAGAAGGAAAACTTTGTTTGAAGGCTTTGATCGGTTGATCAACTAAACATCAACCTTCGCAATAGCACGAATCATTGTAAAATAGGGCTATTGGTCGGGTAAGTCGAACCACTGGGACTGCGCTAGTCTATGGCAACCTAAGTGTCTAGAATTGTTCTTAGAATGATAAGGGGTTTATAGAGGGTTTTGTTTGTTTGTCACTTAAACTTAGAACTTAGAATGCATAAAATAGTAATGTGCTAGGAAGTAAAGAGATATAATACAAGTAGAGAAGCCTAAGGAAATGAATCCGCTCCATCCCTAAACACATGCTAGATTAGAGCTAAATTGGGGAAACAACATAAATATGTGACCATGGAATGCTACAACCAAAATTGCTACATTCCTTCAAGAAATTCATGAAATCAATGGCAAGTATAACCTATCAAAGATGCACATGTTTGAACTACCTAAACTAGTGTGTAGCCTTGGACATGCTTACTAAGTTAGAGATTATCAAGCCTTTAATCACATGATAGGAGCACATGAAGTCAAGAGTCAAGAATAGTCCATCAAAGGAGGGTCCTAAGCTATGGAATATCAAGATTCTCATACAACATGCCAAGAAACCCATTTCACAATCTCATTTCCAATGTCACTATAGAAATGCAAGGCATACAATCATGAGTAAAGATGATCTAAGACAAGATAATACATTCATCATAATCATTTATAAGAAATTAGGTTCATTACATCAAGTGTAACTCTAGATTGTGAAATAATCACATATATACATCATTTTCCCCAAAATAAACTAAGGCTAGAACATGCTTACTACAGAGGGCTTCATCACCTCCCTAGAAGAGGGTTTAGTTACCCATGGTGGCCCTAGATTGAAGAAGAAGCTTGATCCTTATCTCCATTTTTGTGCACCCTCCTTGAAGCTTCAAGAACTCCTCCTTCTTGCTCCCTTCTCTCTCCTCTAACTTGCCAAAATGAAGCTTAATGTATTGTGTGGCTCTTATCCCTCTTATCTACCACCAAAAGGCCACCAACCAATATCTCCAACCACTTCATTAAAGAGGAAAACAAAATGAAGAAACCAAGGTGCAAGTGGGCTGAAATGAGCCATTTCCGAAGAGCATTCTGCCCAAAATTCGAGCACTCTAAGCAAGGCCTCGAGCACTCGAATTTAGTGTAAAAAGCTCCATGCTTCACTTGCTCCGCCCAGACCTACTTTGGTTAAATAGCCATAACTTTGCGCTCCGAACTCCGAATGATGAGCCGTTTGAAGATTTAGAAAGATAATTCAGAGCTATAAATATTTCATGTTTTGGTGGAGATCCAATTCTCAAGGATGGTTGGTCGAAAATGAAGATCAAGGCAGAATTTCATTGCTGCCAGGCAGTTCTGCGCACCTCTGGTAACAAGGCCATAACTCTCTCCTCCGAGCTCCGAATGACAAACCGTTTGAAGATTTAGAAAGCTAATTCAGAGCTCTAAATCTTTAATGTTATGAGGGAAGTTCAGTTCTCGAGTTTGGAAGGTCAAAATGGCGAGCAAAGTCCAGGTTCTACTGCTGCCAGAATTCAGCATTGGCACCTTTTGTTGCTCAAGATTCCACAAGGCCTTATTCTTGTTCCATTTTGGCCAATGAACCTGAAAATGCATAAAAACATAGAAATGAAGATAATCTACATAAATTAACATACAACGGACTTTACTAATGCAATTTAGGGCGCTTGAATATACAATATTCGGCGCTTATCAGGCTTTTAAAGAAAGGAGCTGGATAGCTTCATCTTCATTCAATGCCTCAACTGCGTGACTTTCATTCACTCCATGAGCAGTTAACAAATGTTTATCTCGTGTTGTTATGATGATTCTACTCCCAACGCCAAACCAACCATGCTCTCCAGCTATTGCATCTAGTTGCTCCCGTTTATCCACATCATCAAGAACAAGAAGAACTCTTTTAAAACGTAGTCTGGATATTATTATGCTTGCTCCTCTAACAGTATCAGTTATATTTATATTACTCCCTGTAAGTATTTCAGAAAGGAGTTGTTTTTGTAAAGCTTCCAAACCTTGTTTTTCTGAGATTTCTCTAACATTTGCGAGAAAGCAGCTACCCTCAAACTGATGATAGATCCGGTCATAAACAGCTCTTGCAATAGTTGTCTTACCTATTCCCCCCATTCCCCATATTCCTATAAAACGAATCTCATCCAACCCTTCAGACAACAATGATTTCATTTTCTCCACACGAGACTCTGTTCCAACCAGATACTGGGCAGCAAGTGGAGATGTATGGTTCAGTTTATTGAAAATCTCTTCAATTATTTGTACAATACATTTTGACTCATGGCTGTAGAGTTAGAATCATGACCATGTGTTAAGTTGAGAACTTAAAATTCATAATAATGAAATGAAGAAATATTATTCAATGTTGGTTGATTTTTAATTCAATATTATTCAATGTTTGAAATAGTTATAGAAATATAAATGAACTGTAAAGAGAAACTGAAACAACAACACATCTAAGCATATTGACACACATTTATGACATTCTAGGCAAATGTGCTTTCCCAAAATACTATTTCAGCTAAAAGTAACAACTCAAAGAAAATAATTCTAAAAAGGATAGAATAATAGTAGAAATATAAAAAGAAGAAAAAAGAGAGAATTGTGTAAAGTCTTGAATGAGATGAATCACTCATTCACAGCTCTGGTATTTATAGATAAAAAGAGCACTGCTCATATTACAAGAAAGAAAACTAAATTAAATCTAAATCAAATCACAGAATATTCTAAAGCATATTCTATAACATAATCACATCTTTGCTATTATGACAAGCCATTTCATAAATCGTGGCTATCATATATGCTAACACTTCCCCTCAAGTTGGTGCGTGGATATCTGAAACACCCAACTTAGACAATGCATTCTCAAACACAATCTTGCTGACACTATTTGTAAGAATGTCTGCAAGCTGCTGAGAGCTTGTGACAAATGGAGTGCAAATTTGACCAGAGATAATATTCTCTCGAATAAAGTGACGGTCCACCTCTATATGCTTAATCCTGTCATGTTGAACGGGATTTGCTGCTATGCTAATGGCAGACTTGTTGTCACAGTACAGTGAGAATGGAAGCGACACTGGAAGGCACAAGTCTGTAATCAAGGTTTTTAACAATAGCAACTCTGCCTTTGCACTAGATCAAGAGACAACATCCTACTTCTTACTGCGCCAAGTAACCAAGTTACCACCAATAGTGGGACAATAACCCGAAGTTGACCTCCTATCTGAAACTAATCCTGCATAATCAACATTTGTCCAAGCCTCAACATGTAAGTAACCATGATTAGCAAACAAAATACCACGGCCCGGACACCCTTTTAAGTAGCGAAGGTTCCGAATAGCTGCATCGAGGTGAGGGGTACGAGGAGAGTACATGAATTGACTCACGACACTCGCGACATAAACAATGTCAGGTCGAGTCATGGATAAATAGATGAGCTTTCCCACAAGTCGTTAATACTGACCAATATCTGATAACAACTCCCCCTCAGAATCAGCCAATCGATGATAATGCTCAATCGGAGTATCAACAGGACTAGCGCTAAGCTGACTAGAAGCAAAAAGCAAGTCAAGAACATACTTGCGTTGAGAGATGAAAATGCTAGCCTTGGAACGAGCCACCTCAATGCCCAAGAAGTACCGTAGGGGACCAAGATCCTTAATCTCAAACTGATTGCCAAGATTCTCTTAACCTCAGCAATTCCGGTAGTATCATCTCCGGTAAGAACAATATCATCGACAAACACAATGAGAGCAATTGTCTTACCGCCTGAATGACGTAAAAACAAGGTATGATCAATTGCACTTTGATGGAAACGAAACTTGAGCATGGCAGTGCCAAAGCGACCAGACCAAGCTCGAGGAGACTGCGTGAGGCTTTTCAGAGAACGACGAAGACGACATACCATACTAGAATGAGCAGGAGAATGAAAGCCCGGAGAAGGAACCATGTACACCTCCTCCTACGAATCACCATTGAGAAAGGCATTCTTGACATCTAATTGAAATAGAGGCCAAGATTGAGTTGCAACAACGGAAAATAATACACGAATGGCATTCATCTTGGCAATAGGGACAAAAGTCTCCTGATAATCTATACCATAAGTCTGAGCATAACCCTTGGCAACTAACCGGGCCTTGTAATGAGCAACTGACCCATCTAGATTATGCTTAACTGTAAACACCCAACAACAACCCACAGCCTTTCGTCCAATATAAAGCGGAGCCATGTCCCAAGCCTGATTTTTCTCAAGTGCTTGTAGTTCTTCTATCATAGCATCATGCCATCGAGGTTGTGCTAGTACATCTGCAACACTAGAAGGAAGAGGAACTGAGGCAACAGAAACAAGATAACTCCGATAGGAGGGTGAGAGAGCACAATCAGAAACAAAATTAGAAATAGGGTATGTACAGGAACGTTTACCCTTTCGAAGAGTAATGGGGCGATCATCATACGAAACAATAGCTTGAGAAGGCGGAGTTGGTGCCGAAGGAACATGGTAGTCGAACGTGGGAGTAGAAGCTTGTACCTGTTGTCTCCGACTATAAACCTGGAACAATTCCCCCTACTGGAGGGGTATCACGAGAAGGAATCATAGAAGACGAAAAAGGTAACGGTAGAGGAGTTGAAGACGGAAGAAGGTGATCATCCATTATATTCAATGGGAATCATTCACTTTGAGAACCCTTATAGTATGGTATATGCTAAAAGAAAGAAACATCCATGGATATAAACCGTTAACGAATGGGAGGATGGTAACACGTATAACCTTTTTGAGAGTCAGAATAGCTTAAAAACACACACTTCAAAGCCTTAGGGTCAAGCTTTATATGAGACTGCCCCAACTACTGAACAAAGCACACACACCCGAAGACTCGCAGAGGAATTAAAAAAAGAGATGAACTGGGATGTAAGATTGAGAGTGGGGCTACAAAGTTAAGAACGTACCCTAAAAGAAGTCCTATTAATGATGTAAATAGCTGTAAGAACTGCATCTCCCCAAAATGATTGGGGAACATTCATGCCAATACAGATTGCTCTGGCTAAGTCAAGGATGTGGCTATTCTTTCTCTCTATTCTGTTGAGGAGTTTTAGCATTAGCCATCTGATGCTCAATCCCAAATTATGTACATAACTTTTGTACCTCCCCATAAGTGTACTCTGTACCCTGGTCAGATCTGAATTTTTTAATGGTATGACCATATTGAGTCTGAACCATTACCATAAAATTTTTAAACATGGTGTACACCTCATTTTTGGTTTTCATAAGATAAACCCATGTAACATGACTATGATTATCAATGAACAACACGAAATATCGAAATCCAAGACTAGAAGTAATTGGGCAAGGACCTAACACATCTAAATGAACAAGATCAAAAGGTGTTAAAACAAATTTATCACTACTAGAAAGATAATTGGAACGAATATGTTTAGCCATATGATATGTCTTACAGGATAAATTTGACACTGCCACGTTACAAAATAAGGAAGGAAATAAATGTTTTAAATAACCGAAAGAAATATATCCTAAACGCATATGCCAACGCATAAGCTGGGCTTTATTAGATAAAACAAAATTAGAAAATGAAGTTGAATGTGTTGAGGTGACAAAGGAGCATCCAACAGGTATAGACCGTCCACTTCATGCCCACTGCCAATCGTCCATTTCGACACCAGATCCTGAAAAATACAATGAGAGGGAAAGAACATTACACTACAATTTAATTGTTTGGTAACGCTACTAACAGAAATAAGATTTGTAGTCAACTATGGAACAGGAAGCGTATCTGACAAAGTTAATGAAGGAGTAACTGATATGTGACCCTTCCCAGCAATGGAAGATGGAGAGCCATCCGTAAGGCATACCTTGTGTTGGCCAGAGTAGATACTATAAGATTGGAAGACTGGGGACATACCAGTCATATTATCTAAAGCACCAGAATCAATGATCCATTGTGTTAAAGATGTAGATACGCTATGTGCAGACGCAATAGTACCTGAGTGGCATAAGTGGAGGTTGGCTGATATGATGCCTCTATTTGGTTGAAGAATTGTTTGAACTTGTCCAAATTAGCTTGAGTTAAGGTAACTGTGGTAGAAGATGTAAAGGCAGAGTTGTCAAGAGTTGACAACGAGACTAGTTGTGTAACAAAATGTGCAGAGGATCGAGACTGTTGTTTCTGTTGCGGTGGGCGTCCATGTAAAGCATAACAACGAGATTTGATGTGACCAAATTTTCCGCAATGGTCCCACTGTCCACGTTGTCGTACCAGAGGAGGACCGTTGGTAGAGCTCTGAACTATCTGGGATGGTGCAGTTCCTGAAAGGTTGGGAACCCGAACTGCTGTAGCAAAACAATCAACAGAAGCAACACCTAATGGATGAGTTCGACGGCTCTCATCTAACAACACACAGGAGTATGCATCCTCAAGAGTAGGGAATGAAGATAAGTCTAATAAATGAACACGAGCATACTCAAACTCGTCGTTCAACCTGGCAAGAAACTGAAACACTCGATTCTTCTCCACAATCCCTGCATATAAAACTGCATCATCTGGATACTTCCAAGTGTGGAAGGAATCATAATATGACATCTCCTCCCAAATAGCACGAAGCTTGGCGATGTCACTTGAAACTGTCAAGTCACCCTGAGAAATCCTGGTGATATCTCGCCCCAGCTGGAAAATTCGTGCATTATTCTGCCTCTGAGAATAAATGCGTTGAACTGAATCCCAAATTTGCTTAGTAGTCTTTATAAATATATAGCCAACAACTATGCTTAGTTGCATCAAATTGACTAGCCGAAACATAACCATAGCGTTATTTGCAAACCACCGTGGATATGTATTCTTTGACTGAGCTGGCTCTTTCTCATCAGAACCAGTAATATAGCCAATCTTGCCTTTGCCACCAATGAACATCTTGGCAGACTGTGCCCAAATCAAATAGTTGGAACCATCCAACTTCACTGTGGTGATTTGAAGTCCTGGATTTTCTGATGAGTTGGTGGGAAAAATGGCACGACCACCTACAGAACTTGAGCCAAGAGAATTAACAGTTAAGGACCCTGAATCTGCCATAATCTGTCATGCAACAATGAAAAACTCCAAAAAAACACCACAAATTCTCTTAATAAATCAAAGGATCTCCTTAGATCATAAACAATAACAATGTCTCCTCAGACCATTCCCGAAAAATCCAAATACATACTTTTTTTAAGAAGCATTGCTTGCTTACATATAGCCAGACAGCCTCCGTCTTAACATCCGGAACCTCTTTGTAGACTATATTTTTTTTACCCAAACCCTTTTAGGTGTTGGAGACCAACTATCCCAATTTACCCAACCCTAGAAGAACAAAAAAGAAATTGTAAAACTTAAAAATACCTATTTTCGATCACAAAACAGCAACACAGAAAAATATGTGTAGGCAACGTCACACGATGTCACAAACAGCCTAAGGTAGCTGTCGCACAAGTAGCAAGGCTGCTGAAAGGTGTGGAAATGTAACCCCCCCTAATTTTGGAACACGGATTGATCAAGTCCGCGCACAAAATCAAGGGATATCAAAACAATTTAAGTATTTAACAAGCACAGAATACAAAGATGAATAATAAAGAATAAATAAACCGCTGAAGAAAACTAATAAATAAATATTACTTAATGATTCTCCAACAATTACAATTCGGAAATCCCATAACTCAAGGACCCCTTAAAACATTATCCAATAATCCAATACTATTTAAAAGTACACAAGATGAATAGACGAATGACAGTCTCCCAGCTGCGGATCCTCAACCTCGAGACTGGAACCTCTAATAACCTGAAAAATAAATCGTGGGTTAAACCCTACGAGCAAGTTCACTCTACCAGGCCTCTGAAAACCAATAAGCAGATCATCTCTGATCAAAACCAAACCTAATAAAGTTTTAACTTTAATAAAGCACGATATACATGTCTATATATAATTATATATACTATACTAATCACATCCATTAATAGGTTTATTAAATTTCCATACCTATTAAATAATTATTAAAATAATATTCATACCTAGACCAATCTACCATTTCATTTTATAAAAACTCCTTTGACCTTAATCCCATCCTAGTCAGTTGTCTAATCATTTAAACAACAAATTATAATAAAAGAAATACTCTATTTAATCCCAACCCGATAATGATTTTAATTGTTTAAATCACATATCAAAAATCCAAGTTTTGACAAATCATCCACGTCTTCCCCAATATTATTTTATTAATGTAAAATAATACACTAACCAGTAAGTACTAAACTATTCTCATTTAAGAATATCTAACCCTAATCCAATCCATACATACAACAACCATAGATGATATTTTAATCATCTAACACATAACAACGTAATTATGCTTTGGCAAATCAACCATGCCATTGTAAAT